ATAATAGTTAATAATTGAATTATACAATACTTTCCACTGCTTTTATCCTTTGTGGCCAAATCCATGACCACGAAGTCTAACTCGACGTGTTTGTTGGGGCCGGGATTGATGTGCCACCAGCACGACTTGTATTGGGCGTAATAGAAAGGATAGTTGGGTGAGAATATGACACCCGATGGCTCGGTAAGGGTCGTAACGCACGGCTCTATTGGTGTAATCATTTTAAATTATGATACCTTGAAAATAATTTCTAATTGTCTCACTCGATAGGTCTCTGCAACCAATGACTTCCAGTCTAAGACAGGGCGCGATCTTAAAGTTTAAGATCTTGACTCTGACATAGCGGGCGAGTATTGGTTTGAGTAAATTATACATAACTATGTCATTGCCATCAATACTCTGAGACTCGCATTGAACACATTTGTACACTTTCTGTCTACCGATGGGCTCTTCCTCAAAGGTCCACTTCGTGGTGTCATTACTGAACAATAGCTGAAATTGTGTGACAAAAGAACTCTTGAAGGCATTCACCATTCCCTGCATAGCTATGCCGACAACAGTCACATAATCACTGACAGGAAAGGGAGACTTCATGCCATGGATTTGTTGGTTTTCGCCGTAAAGCAAATCAATCTTATTTGAATACAAAACACTTATTAAAACACTGAACCAAATGTGTATTAAATAAATATTCTATATATTCTATAATATTCTATGAAAACCTGTATATATTTGTGTTGGTCAGTGATGGCCGCACACCAGGCTTTGGCGCTATTGAGTCTCGAGTTGACCGGATGGTGGAAGAAGCCGTGGCTATCAATAGACGACGCGCTTATAGCCGTGTCTAATATCTCTTCGGTGGCCATACCTAATGGTCGTCCGCACGACTCCTCTCCAAACACTTTCACTTCACATAATCTCAACGAATCAAACCTGTCTTTCATGAAGATGACCACATACTGGCCCTCAATTGCTTGCTTACAGTTCAGAGTAATCACTTCGGAATCACTGGCCGTCACATCAAAAGAAGCGCATTCGACGGCACTCAAGAAGGGTTTGTCCACCGCTCGAGATATACCCGTAGTTTCATCGTAAAAACGACTGAACCCATAGGTGTCGGGTGTTGTGTCGACCAATACTTGAAACCCTTTGAGTTGATCCGAGACATCATAATAGCAGTAATGAAGGGTAAGTCCTTTTTCAAAAAGAGCGATGTCCACGCGTGGGTGGGGGTCATGAAATTTGAGTTGATTTGTTCCGGTTATAAATATCAACTCCAAACTGATGCCTGAGAGTTGCACCTCTTCCTCGTAATGAAAGAAGTGCTCGATTTCTGACATTCCCTCCACTTTCTGACACTCATCGCCGTATTGTAAGAGATAGAATGGCCTGTCTTTCGGTAGTCTTATGGACACCTCTGGGTTGCCATCCTCTCGACAACAGTAATAAATAGTTGTGTTTTGTTTCGTATAAATCCCTTTAAAAGTAAATCACTTTTAAATAACCTTTGTTATTTGAGAATTAAAAATCAAATTCATTTTAATGATAACCTTTAGGAAGAGCTCCCTTCACGTAATTCCTACTCTCTGAGGGAAGGGTAGCATTACTTTTATCGAACCACGCGATAGAACCTGAAGTAAATCCTTCGGGACAGGTGTCGGCCACCTGGAAGATGCAGTACTTGCCGGGCATCCATCCATAGTTGTTGCCATTTGGCGCTGACTTTTCTGGTGGTTTACTATCTCTTATGCAAAAGTGTTGAGCGATTCCGCCATCAGTAGCGCCGCCCATAAGCATAATCCCTTGAGACCAATACCTGAACCGGTCGTCCTGTACGGGCTCGTGACGGACGTCGTGAAAGCGAACACCGGTTTGCCATTTGGTGTCTGAAGTGGACGGACAGCCCGACACAGGCATTGGCAGACCGTACTGACCATGCGGCCAGTGAAGGTCTTCATTTTGAGCCGTGATGTCTGCGGTGTTAATCTGTACTCCATATATGCGATGACGCTTCTGGAGGTTAACCCGCCACCAGGGCTCGTGTTCATAGTTAGTGGCCGTACACTTGGTGTGCTGTTTTCGCTCCACATTCCCGTCAACAGCCAGTGCCGCCTCTAAACCACTTCTCGTAGAGCTCTGATCGGCAGACTTTCCTTCGGCGATATTATTGATCCATTTCTTGGTTGTATTGGCCTTAGGTATAGCTCTAACAGTTGCGTGAAATCCTCTACTATTCCCCACTCTCTTCAAAGTAGTCTTCATTTCCAAAAGCATTTGACTGTTATTTGACTGAAGTTTTCCGATATTAAACTTATTTATATTACAATAAGTGGCNATAGCTCTAACAGTTGCGTGAAATCCTCTACTATTCCCCACTCTCTTCAAAGTAGTCTTCATTTCCAAAAGCATTTGACTGTTATTTGACTGAAGTTTTCCGATATTAAACTTATTTATATTACAATAAGTGGCCGTTTTTATTGTTTCATTCAATTGGGTGTCAAATACTGTCAACAAGTCTGCGTTACAGTAATGAATACCCGGAGTATAGATTATGTCAAAATCATTGAATTCAATCTGAATTATGTGTCCCTCAAGTGTCGATAGATTCCAGGTATGGGTGTATTTTTCACCAAAATTTTCGTAAATATAGTGCGGAAATGGATATCCAAACGATGAGATAGTAATACATTGATTGGGGTTTATATGACAGTGAGTGACGCTTTCGTTTTGGCCAAACCCGACATTACATCCGCCGCACACTGTCTGCCGGAATTCGGCCACAAATCCTGAGATATAGTGCATTAGATTTGAGACCAATAATTTTAAATTCAATTTTAGGATCTATTTAGAATTATGTTAACAAAAACTATACAAAAATGTTCACAAAACATTGAAATTCTGTGTGTATATCACAAAATATTTTTACATAATATACTCTGGTCATAATATTTATTAAACTCAACGAAAGTCTGACTTTAGTGCACAAAAATGAGTTGTTTTTTAGTGTGGAGTCAATACAAAGTTTATATCGATATTACAAACATCGAGTCATTTATTCTAGAATTTGAGTGATCAGGTTTCATTAATATTATTACCATGGTAAAATATATAAAAATACTTTGTGAACATTTTGATTTAGTATTTGATAACTAATATTAATTTTATATATAATAAAATTTAATTTCAAATAGTTGGTTTGTAAAATAATGCTTTTTATATTTGATATTTAAAAAAGTTTCAAATAAATTCACTATAAAATACCTTTCTTTTCGATATCCTTTAATTGATTACAAGTAGTGAAAGTTAGGTCAACGATAGTCTCGGTGCCATCGGATATGAAATAAGGTGGAGAAGCCTTCTCTCTCTTAATATTTCTGATGACACCTCCGGTCGAGTTCTTGATATCAATTTCAACGACATATCGACAGTTTGGCACTGAATTATAGGCACCAAAGTGGACGACATCATAGTAGGGGAAAACTAATTCAATGATCTGTCCCTCACTTATAATGATTTGCCATTTGTATCGATGAAATGCCGGCGGATATGAGTTTGGATAACCGGGAGATTCAATAGTGACGGGTGCTCTGAAATAGCCGTTCCTCACAAGTTTGTGTCCGCGAGCCCGACATACTAAGGGACCTAATGTGTACTGACCCGCTTCGTAGGACTCGCCGGTGTCTCCAAATCTGAGCTGAAGGACAGGGAGTCTACTCCTATCCAACAACAGTCCGGAATCTTCAAGCCATTGGAGTTTGAGGTTTGCGTCACAATTACACGTTGAGTTACGGACAGTTGGGTAACAGTATGGAAAACACCCGCAATTTTTTGAGTCTGTTTCAGCGCCGCCCCAATAATATTGATTTTTCCAACCCCTCCCCACCCACCAGTTGTCTATATCCCTGGCGTACCAAAAGCCAAACATCGCTCCCTTACAGTCCCATCGGATATATTGCTGACACGAAAATGATATGTCAATGAGTGCCTCAATTTGTTTCTCTTGTATGAGATCTGTTCCGTACGTAATATTCTTGACGTAAGATCCCGGGGCTTCATATCCACGAACAGATTCTATGAGTTCCGAGTTGTGATGGACTATCGTTTTGATTGAATATATGTCATCTCCCGGTCCCATATCGCACTCAACCCTAAATGGCAATAGACTGCCCTCATCATTGTCCACATCTATGACATAATTCCCAGATTTGCGAATATTATGCTCTTTCCAGAGGTCATCACACGTGCGGCCAATTACTGACAAATCGCTTAAAACCTCTGTTAATTGTTTACAAAATATATAATACTTATATTACTATATTACTTATATTACTATATTACTATATTACTTATATCAAATTTATAATACTATTTTTTATGTTTGCTTTGATTTGTTTAGTGACATGAGATAACATATTGCACTTACCTTTAGTAAAATAGTGAAAGAGGTTTGAATACACGAAAAGCTTTAGTAAAAGTTGGAAATCATTCACAATTTTCATTATAAAAATCATTAATAGTTTATTTCATGGCATGACTTAATTTAAATAAAAAGCGAATGACTCTCTTAGAGATCAATTGCTATATTCAGTAATTGTTTGAAAAATACTCATTAAACGTAAGTTATGATAACCTAATCATTAAATTAGCGGAGTTCAAGGAATACACAATCAAACTGTTATTATTGTCAATATAAAACTCATTATCTATTTTGATAAATATTTCAAGTCTTTTATGCTATTATTATGTTTGCTAGATAACCTAATCATTAAATTAGCGGAGTTCAAGGAATACACAATCAAACTGTTATTATTGTCAATATAAAACTCATTATCTATTTTGATAAATATTTCAAGTCTTTTATGCTATTATTATGTTTGCTGTATTTCCACTTTAAATGCCTTCTTTAAACAGTTTGTTTATAATTCAAAGTTGTTTTAGGATTTCATTCACTGTAACTGATAAATAAACTAATTATAAACTCATTTATTTGTTTTCCAAACACATAAATCATTGTGGCAATTATTCCATAGTTTTCTATTATTTAAATTAACTAAATAAATATGATCTAGATAAATGATCTACAAACAAAATTAGGATTACCCAATTCAATTCTAATCATTACCACTTTTATCTCATTTTCTGTAATACTGTGTAAATTTTAAATTATCTAAATCACAGTGATTTATGAGGAACACTCAATTTTACATAGTAGGTGAAATTTAAGCATGGACTGTTTTTAAAACAAGAATTCAATTTATTATTTTATTATTTCAATGTCTTATATGGCCTAGTTCTACTTAATGTACAGTACCCTGAGCTTTGAAGGCATATTCTATCACCACTTCAAATATACAGTAATATTGTATTCATTAAAGTCTAATGATTAGACAGTACCATGATTATTTATTTGTAATGCTTTTTATTTGTTTGCATATTAGCATATCTTATAATAAAGTTGTTAAATTTATAGTAAAATACAATAATTATTTTGATTTAGTACCAGTATAATCTCTATATTTTGTTAACTACTATAAATTACTACAAATATTAAACTACAGTAAAATCAAGACTTAAAATTAATAATTATAATACTTTTGATTTATTTAGTAAATTTTATTATATTCAATTAATTAATATTAACTTTAAATAAATCTGAAAATTATTTTACAAAACAACTAAATTAGATTCAGCAACCATTATTATATTGTATTTATATAATACTGTATAACTTTACAATATTGATTGACTCTAACAAAGTTGAAAATCAAATAATATTCCGTATTATACAGCGATAATCATTGAAACACTTATGCCATCATTGAATGACATAGACAGTGATAATATTTCAATAATTATAACGTTTATTGTAATCTTTAATTTGTCAATAACGTCAATTACCAGTCCATTGAGTAATTTAGAGATTGAGATAATTTTTATATCAAATTAATTCACTCATTTCCCTCATAACATTAACCATATAACACATTTGTAGAGCAAGTATTGTCTCTGATATATAAATAGTCATTCATAGCCTGTATACAAGTGAATCAATTTAACAGATTATCAGATTTTGTCATTTTTTCCAATTTACAGTACTGTATACACTTAAAGTCAATTCCAATTATTATATCCAATAAAATATCAAATAAAAACAATTAATTTAATTGTATGTCTCCTAACAAATGTTCAAATAGTGATCAAATTGTAGCCGATTATAGTGTCTCGATGTCGATGTCATTGTCGTTTCTCTAGAGTTATTTAGAGTCTCTTTTATGAATGATTAACACTTTAATACTTATATTAAGTATTTCAATGACTTTAATAAAAAATTCCTAAAATGAGTAGATTTTGATATATAATAATCATTAATGAGATCAGCGATGAAAAATGTTTGCGCGTCGTGTGACTTATATTAATATAAAAACTAAATTATATTAATATATTAGATTTGAGTCTATATTTAACGAATGTTTTAATTCATTGAATGTTTGCATTGATAGTGAAGTGAGAGAAGTGCTGACAAATTTCATGTTGTAACTGAACATGGTGAAATGGTGCTCAAAGAGTATATATCGTCCAATAAAATGCATTGAATATCATGAAGGAGACGGGAAATATGATTCGCGAGTATTTATCAATTTTGTTCACGTCTTTAATCTTAGGGATCGACACTTTGAAAGCATTGGCGCCGCGTCTGATCGACTGAAACATTCGCGGTTTAGCCCTATTGTAAGGATCACTTCGGCCGTAACGCGAACGGTTCGGTCCGTAGATACCGGCCCTTCCATAGGGATCGACACTTTGAAAGCATTGGCGCCGCGTCTGATCGACTGAAACATTCGCGGTTTAGCCCTATTGTAAGGATCACTTCGGCCGTAACGCGAACGGTTCGGTCCGTAGATACCGGCCCTTCCCGGCGAGTATGACATCCGATGCACGGGGTTTGACATTCGCAGTGATGGAGGGAATCGTAGGTCACTATCGCTTGTACTACACGTCTTGTTGTGTCGGTTCCGTAGACAAGGGATGGGAGACATCCGGATGTCATGTAATTCTATGATCTCTTCGTTCTGTATATCAATGAATCAATTGATTTGATTTAATATGAAATGGTATTCAATGGTCACAGCTTTAGTCACACATACAGTGAAAGTTAGCCAGGACAATCAATTCTTTCATCACGTGTTCATTGCTTTATATATATATATTATATATATATATTTCACCTTGCGTATACATTGGTCGCTTACTCATAGACAGTGACCACTAAATGTAGACATACGCAAGGTGAAATATATCGCATTAATAGTGATTAAACTATGGGCTGCACACACATAAACACATTGCAGAAAGCAATGAACACGTGATGAAAGAATTGATCGTGGTCGTTTAGTGACACATACATTGTATACATTATCTCCATGTTTGCCAGCTCCGGGAGATATAGCCCTTCCGGATGAGTCGATTTTGTCGGTCGGTTTGGGTTTCTTCTTAGCTCTGGCGCCCCAATAGGTGTAGTTGACGGCCGCGTACTCGAGAAGTGCCGCAAAAACAAACACAAAACACATCACTAAATAGATGTCAATAGCTTTGACGTAAGATATTCGCGGCAATGAAGATCTGACACCAGTACTGATGGTTGTCATGGTTAGGACAGTCGTTATTCCTAATGCGACCCTCGCTGATGTTGCCTTAGATTTTCACAATAAATCAATGGTTATTATTTCGAAAATAAATTCAAATATTGAATGAAAAAGTTTTTAAAGCAATTATTTATAGCATCTGTTGTCAAACCTCGTGATTGATCCAAAAGGAAACCCATGAAAGCATTACAATCAGAATTGATGGCAAATATGTTTGAAAAATAAAATATCCGATATTTCTCTTTA